ACGAAAATATCCACTTTGACCGCTTTCGAATGCAATTTGACGATGTTTTTGCGTGATATCTGTACGTAAGGACAGAATAAAAGACTCTTTTCCTCCAAAAAAACTGCTTTAAAATGAATTCTGAAGAGAGTTTTTCGTGGCGTCTGTACGAACGTATGTACGTACGTGCGTATGAACGTACGTACGTATCTCGCATAACTCAAAAACGAGTAGCCTCAGAACGTTGAAATTTTGTATATAAGACTACTGTAACATGTAGATGTGCACCTCGTATTTTGGTTTCAATCGGCCACACCAAACGTATATAAATATATTTATATATATATATCCACTCTGTTACCCGGCTCAGTGATCTCAGTTTCTTTACTCTTATATGTTTGTAAATTGTACATTTTTTGCTTTAAAAATGATTGCATTATGTTGTTTTTATCTTCCGGTTAAGGGTTTTTTATGACTTTAGTAAATCTGTATGCAATATTTTTAGAATTAATTATCAACAATTTTAAAATTGTTTAAGTGCCGCTAAGCCTAATTTTGATGGCGGCCATTGATGTTTACATTTGAAAAACAAGAGACTATTGGATTTGTTGCCATCTAGAGAAATTTAGCTTCGCAACAACAAACGCATTCATTTATTATTGCCAATTAAATCATGCTTAATCCTTTCTTGAATTTTTTCGAGGAAATAAGCGTTTAAGATTTACTTCGTAATTTTTAATACAGATATTTTGAGTTTTTATGTATTTTTGCCTTGTCGCGAAGTGAGAACTGAATTAATTGAATGAGAAATACTCAATCGTCTGTGAAAAACTGTTCTTTTTTGTTTTGTTTGCTTAATTTCTTTTATACATAGTTCTAGCTTTATTATAGTATTTGAATAGAACATGTGGCAACGATTAGATAATTCTTTAAATGATATAAATTTTGTGCATTCAGAGTTATAATATGAACGAAATATAATACTGTCAAGTAAACCTAGCGCCAGAGTGTCGCTATGGTAAACAAAGTGAATTTTAAAGAATGAATTTATTCTATTGTGGTTTATGCGCTGTCGGCGAAGTAGGTTTAATTCAATCTAATAAGTTTAAATAAAATGCAAGAAAAAATGCGTATAATTTAATATTCCGTATAAGCAATATTTGTACAATTATCAACAATTTAAAAGCTGTTTAAGTGCGGTTAAGTTTAAATAACATGGCGGACATATTTGTTTACATTTGAAACAGCAGAATTGTAGATTTGTTGCCAATCTAGAGAGACTAAGCTTCGCCACAACAAAAATAACGCCTTCATTTATTATTGCCAATTAAATCATACTTAATCCTTTCTGGAATTTTTTCGAGGAAATAAGTGTGTTAAGATTTACTTAATTTTTAAGATTAGTAATTTTTAATACAGATATTTTGAGCTTTTATGTAATTTTGTTGTCTTGTCGCGAAGTGAAAACTGAATTAACTGAATGAGAAATACTCTATCGTCTGTGAAAAACTGTTTCTTTTTTGTTTTGTTTGCTTAATTTCTTTTTTACATCGTTCTAGCTTTATTATAGTATTTTAAAAGAACATGTGACAACGATTAGATAATTCTTTAAATGATACACATTTTATGCATTCTGAGTTATAATATGAATGAAATAGAATACTGTTAAGTGAACCTAGTGCCAGAGTGTCCTATGTTAAACAAATAGAGTGAATTTTAAAGAATGCCTTTATTCTATTGTGGTTTATGCGCTGTCGGCGAAGTAGATTTAATAAAATCCAATAAGTTTAAAAGAAATGCAAGAAACAAATGCGTATAATTTAATATTCCGTACAAGGAAGTCATGTGTCTTTTTACTTCCTTGTACGAAGTAAAAAGGAAGTATTGTAATCGCGAAAAGTTTCAGGCAGCATATTTCAAAGAAAATATCCCATTTTGACCTCTTTCAAATGCAATTTAACGATGTATTTCCGTGATAACTGTATGTAAGGACAGAATAAAACACTCTTTTCCTCCAAAAAAAATTATAAAACTGCTTTAAAATGAATTCTGAAGAGAATTTTTCGTGGCGTCTGTACGAACGTATGTATGTACAGTGTCTCACAAAAGTGACGGGACACTTGTGCTTTACAAAAAGAAACTGTAATAAAATAAATTAAAAAAACATGTAAAAATTTTTTGTGGGTGTGTTTCATACTTAAATTTAGTAACAATTATTACATAACATACATTTTCTCAAAATATTAAAATAGTAATTTAATAAAAAATACAATTGTTTAGAACGGACAAAAAATGGCTCACATAAGTGATGGGACACCATTAGATACTACTACGTACTACAATAAAAATATTTTTTAGGGGTTTTATTTTTACTCAAAAGCGATTAGCAATAATTTATAAAATCGTCTGCAGTCTTTCTCTCCAGTTTGTTTTGGAATTTTTGTGTTTTTTTATCTCTGTGCAGCCATGAATGCTAAACGAAAAGAAACTTTGCCTGGAATTCGAAAATTAGTTATTAATTTGCATATTGAATGTGGAAAATCTATTAGAGAAACTACTGAAACAGTTAACTTCAGTCATTCAACAGTTTTCAATATCATTAAACGATATAAAAAGAATCATATGATTCAGGATAAAAGAAGACCTGGCCGACCATCAAAGCTATCCAATGGAATAAAGCGAATTATCGTTCGAAATATTAAAAAAAAAAAATCCAAGAATGAGTGCTCCTAAAGTTGCTGCTGATTTACAAGCATTATATGGAGTAATTGTTAATTCTGAGACTATTAGAAGAGTAATTCGATCTACTGGATATCACGGTAGAGCAGCCAGGAAAAAATTCTTCGTAAGTGAAAAGAATAGAAAACTCAGACTGGCTTTCGCAAAATCCAACATAAATAAGAATTCTGATTACTGGAATGAAGTTATATTTGCTGATGAGAGTAAATTTAATATATTTGGTTCTGACGGTAGAATCTTGGTGTGGAGAAAACCCAGGGAAGAATTTCGCAAACAGAACTTGGTGCCAACAGTAAAACATGGTGGAGGAGGAGTTATGGTATGGGGGTGTATGTCGTCCGCTGGAGTTGGTAATCTTGTTTTTATTGACAGTATAATGGATCAGTACAAGTATATTGACATTTTAAATCAAAATTTGAAATCTTCAGCACGAAAATTGAACCTTCATAACGATTTTAAATTCTACCAGGACAATGACCCCAAGCACAGTGCTTTGAACGTTAGACTCTGGCTGCTGTATAACTGTCCTGAAATAATAAAAACACCACCACAATCTCCACAATTAAATCCCATAGAGAATATTTGGCAAGAATTGGAATCAAGAATTCGCAAACACACCATTTCTTCAAAACAACAATTAAAATCGGTGCTTCAAGAAGAATGGGGTAAAATCACTCCAGAAATCACAAAAAAATTAGTCGAATCCATCCCAAGAAGATTAAATCATGTTTTAAAAGTAAAAGGAAATCCAACAAAATATTAAAACCTTTTAAAAAGTAAAATTTTTGGATAAATATTTGATGGAAAAGTAAGTGTCCCATCACTTATGTGAGCCATTTTTTGCTCCGTTCTAAACAATTGTATTTTTATTAAATTAATAGTTTTGAGAAAATGTATGTTATGTAATAATTGTTACTAAATTTAAGTATGAAACACACCCACAAAAAATTTTTACATTTTCTTTTAATTAATTTTGTTACAGTTTTCTTTTGTAAATCACAAGTGTCCCATCACTTTTGTGAGACACTGTACGTATCTCGCATAACTCAAAAACGAGTAGCCTCAGAACGTTGAAATTTTGTATATAGGACTGCTATAACATGTAGATGTGCACCTCGTATTTTGGTTGCAATCGGAGCTAACCCCATTACGCGTTTCGCCGAAACAGACAATTGAAACTTTTTCGCTACAAAATTTTTTTTAAATTTAGACAAAGTGTCTTGAAAATTTTAATAGTTTCAATTCTCTGTTCCAATTTCCCGACGCGTCCGCACAGAATGACACATTAAGGTGTTAAAATATGTTAAACAATACCTATACATCTTAAATCTAGACTAAAATCAAAATAAAAACGAAAATATAAACGAAAATATATTTATATATATATATATCTCCACTCTGTTACCCGGCTCAGTGATCTCAGTTTCTTTATTCTTATATGTTTGTAAACTGTACATTTTTTTGCTTTAAAAATGATTGAATTATGCTGTTTTTATCTTCCGGTTAAAGTTTTTATCCCTTTCGTAATTCTGGAAGCAATATTTGTACAATTATCAACAATTTAAAAGCTGTTTAAGTGCGGTTATGTTTTAGATAACATGGCGGACATATTTGTTTACATTTGAAACAGCAGAATTGTAGATTTGTTGCCAATCTAGAGAGACTAAGCTTCGCAACACAAAAATAACGCCTTCATTTATTATTGCGAATCAAATCATGCTTAATCCTTTCTGGAATTTTTTCGAGGGCATAAGTGTTTAAGATTTACTTCGTAATTTTTAATGCAGATATTTTGAGTTTTTATGTATTTTTGCCTTGTCGCGAAGTGATAACTGAATTAATTGAATGAGAAATACTAAATCGTCTGTGAAAAACTGTTTCTTTTCTGTTTTGTTTGCTTAATTTCTTTCATACATCGTTTTAACTTTATTATAGTATTTGAATAGAACATGTAGCAACGATAATTCTTCAAATGATATAAATTTTGTGCATTCAGAATGTCGCTATAGTAAACAAATGTAGTGAATTTTAAAGAGTGCATTCATTCTATTGTGGTTTATGCGCTGTCGACGAAGTAGATTTAATTCAATCCAATCAATTTAAATGAAATTCAAGAAAAAAATGCGTATAATTTAATATTCCGTACAAGGAAGTCATGTGGTGTACACATCAGATTTCTTTATATTTAAATGAACGCTATGAATAAATTTCAAAAATAAATTAGAAATATTATTAAAATTGTTACCTTTAATTAAGTGATTCGTTTTAAAGATGGAACTTACCTAAACCACGTGAAGGCTGCTGTGTGATTTCTTGCAACTCCTGCTCCTGAAAGAAATCAAATGTCTTATGTAACAGTTTTTTTTTTTTTTTTTCCCTTAAAAAAAATTTTTTTTTGATGTTGAAGACATTCAGTATTAATAGCTTCAGCAATGAAACAGAGATGGACACTTACAATTACATTATTAATAAAGAAAACTATAATTTGAAGAATACTTTTTGCACATAAAAAACTGAAGTATTTTGTACAAAAAGAGTTACTTTAGTTAAATGGATTGTGTGTACGTGGGGAAGTGGAATAACCTTTCATATTTGCATGTTTTTCTTCGTTATGTCCCAGATGGGGGGGGGGAAGATTTTTTTGCTTCTTTGAAAGAATGGCAGTGCTCTGTCTATTGAAAATGCCAATTCGTTTGAATTTCGTCTGAGGCCAGCCGGCGGCCGAGTAGTAAAGTCGTTGAACACTAGTTCAATTCGGGATTCGAATCCTAGCGAACGGGCTGCTACATAAGCGCTTTCATGGTTTTCCCCGTGTGTAAAGTGTATAGAAGTCAGTCCCTTAAAAAGTCTTCCGAGAAGTCATCCCTTCCCTTTGGCAGATAAGCATTGAATGCTTTGCCATAATAAAGAAAATTAAAACATTCTTTTGCCGCGATAATATGTGTGGCATTAGTAATTGAGCATTCGTTCGTTCTTCAGTTGCTGAATCATTTAAATAAATAAGTAATGAATTATCCAGTTATCATTTCAATTGCATTTAACGATTTAGGAAGTTTTAGCACTGCATTGGCCATTTGTGAAAAGCATCGTTAGTAACTTTGAAAGAATTGGTGCTCTGTCTCAAATTGAAATGAACAATAAACTTTTTTTTTTTTTTTTTTTTTGTTTGGCATCGGAGATCTGAAATGTTGAGGAAAATATGTTGTTTTGAATTGGCGAAATTATAAATGAAGAACAGAAAGCTTTCATAAGATTTTTGTCACTGAAGGTGAATATGAACATCCATGAAAGACTAATGTGTTTATAGTTGGAAATAGGAAACAAGAGAGTTTTACTGTAAACCACTACTGTCTGTTTTCACAGAATCTCATGAAGCTTTGACCCATTCACAACCGACGTTTCAACACAAGTATCGACGCATCCCGTTTTTCAGACCCATTTTCATAGAACAAAAGTGAGTCTTATGCGCCGGCAAATACGGTAATTAATAACTAATAATATATTTTGGGGTGTAACGTGACAAGCCCTCTCATGGTGCACCCTGGTTAAAGCTAAATTTGTCATAGCGTTGCCTCGCTTCCTTCTTCTTTTGAACATTTGGATTGTATCACATTATGGCAATGAATGGGCAGTGGCGTAGCAAGGGGTCTATCATGCCGCGGGCCCTTCCCGCAGAGGAGCGCCCAGATGTCCCCCCCCCCAAGACAAAAAAGATTTTCCGTGAAATTTCAATTTTTATTTTGATCAATTTCTGAGAAATGTGTTTTAACTGGATAATTATTAAAATATAATTATTTCCTCTCTTGATTTGTCTAATAAAATATGTAATAAATAATCTTTGTAGTAAATCAGTCAACTATCTCCATATACAAAAGGCTCTTTCTTTCTTTTTTTTTTTTTTAAACAACGTGCACTCAGAATTGTTATTATAAAACGATAACAAACAACTTTTATATGACAGGCCCTTCGACCCTTGGACTATTATTAATTCAGCGGCCGAAAGATATCTTTCTTATGCATTTTATTTTTTAATATATACTTGACGATTCTATTACTCGGTGAATAGAATATAAGTGAAATTGTTAACTGCTGCGTTTTTCAAAAGAAATACCTTAATTAATATAATAAAAAAAATTTTTTGCTTTAGGCCATGTTCCATGCTTTAGACCAGGGAAAATTTAGGGTTCTCAGAATCGGAAAAGAGAATTAGAGAAAGAAAAAGAAGCTCAACGCCAGAAAAATAATGGAATCATATTGAGTAAAAAAGAATCGCAGAAGGAAAAACCAGAACATAAGAAGGATGAAGAAGTAAAATCAGAGTGAAAATAAAATTCAGGCTGATAAAACACCAAACACATTGAGAATTACAACAAATACAAGATTCCGAAGATGGGGGGGGGGCACAAATGCATCAGAAGTTCCAAATCCATATCTAATAAAAAGAACAGAAAATGCAGGAGAAACGCTCATTGCTTGCAATTCCAAACATTCAGTAGTTTAAAGATGTTGCTTATTTAAAATTTAGTAATAATCTTCCAACAATATCGAGCTATTTTCACACGGAAATAATTATATGTGGATCCCGCATAGTTCAGAACGAATCCAGTCTAAATGCAATAGCAACGTCAGCCAATCTTCTAATGCCAAAATCTCGGTTTTCTCGAAGGGTCGGTAATAAAGAAGAAGGAATTAAAATTAACCGATCTTGGTTATTATATTTACCAAAAAATAATGGTGAGTACTGCTTTTGTTGCTTACTGTTTATTACACCAAATTCCGCTACCTTTGTAACAAAATCTGGTTTTAATAAATAGAGGGAAAAGATAAATTAATTAGCCATGAAAAGAAGTCCAAAATCGTTTAAAATCGTCCATCGAAAGTCGTTTACAATTTGGAAGGAAAGAGGATAAAGATTAATTTATAAAACGGGAATCAATGAATCATTAGAAGCAAATAAGTGCGGAAAATGCAGAAAGCAAATATAAAGTCCGAAAAAGAAAGATGTCGAATATATATTGCAACGAATATCAACTTGCAAGAAGCATCTGATTATACAAATTCTTCCTCTATGTGGTTATGTTGCATCTACCGCTTCAAGATCGTGCAAGTGTCGGAAACCTATTATCTTTACTTAAACTTGTAGCTCAGTTTTATCCACTATTAGGGAATCATTTTAAAAATGTCATGGAAACGCCAAGAACTGTCACCACAAATTCTAAATTAATATCTTTTCATCTTTTGGCTTTCTATGTTCTTTGAAACTGAATTTTTGTCGAATTCTGTAAGTGAGAGATCTATATTAATTTCATTATAATTCTAAACTTTAACCCTTTAACTGTCAAGTTATTTTGATGATTTGGGTACACAAATTGTCAAATTTTTTATTGGAAAAATCAAATGTTTAGTACAAAATAAAATATACTTAAGTAGTTAAAAATTGATATTTTGAAGTACATGGTAAAATTTTAAAGTCTTGTAGCCACTGCATATTTGCTGAGGCGGCTGCCACTCAACATGGCATTGTAAAGTTCGCTCTAGTGGAGCATTATTTTCTAAAATAAAGAATTCTTATTTTCTAAAAAATAAATAAATGAAAAAAAGTAAAAATAAAAGTGAATACCTATTAGTAGTTCAGTATTCAAATCCGTGTGGTACAACTGGAAAACTTTTCAAGCACAAACCAACTCCACAATCACTACACCAGAATCGTGTTTCCTTCCTTATCTTTTTATCATTTTTATCCTTTGTACTGTCTTGAAGACTCAAGTTTCGCAGTAGTAGGAGGAATATGGGAAATAAAATGTTGTTCAATAAGACGAGCAGGGTTATCTATTGTAGGTGGTCTGCCAACATTCTTTTGTCCAGAAGCTGCATCGTCATACTCGTGTTTATGTAAAAGCTCTTCTACAACTTGGATTCAAAATTCTAAAAATGTAATACATTTCCCAACTACATTTTTACAGAGCAAATATGAGTTCCAGAGTACCTTGTCTAGTTAATGTACAAATATCTTTGTATAATATTTTTTTTTTCTGACGTTTACGGATTGTTGGATGAAAGGATATTTCCTGATCACAGTGACCTATACCACCCATAGTCAGACTGTTGTCAGAAACAATTTTCGGCTTGGGTATATCTTCATTTTTTTTATTTTTGAGGCGGACCATGGAAGTATCATGAATACTGCTCATCAAACACACATCCTTCACCTTCGGTTAAAATCTAAATCATCTATATAACGTTTCAAAGAACTGGACGCCATTTTACAACAAAAAGGTTCCGTGCACTTTGAACCAAAGAACTTATAACCTCTAACCTTTGAAATCTTCAGTAAAGTGCTGTCATCTATTGAATTGAGCGCACATTAACTTTTCTCGAGATACATTCGGGTTTGACAAAGAGATGAAGCCGAAATGAACGTCTCCCGAAGCATTCTCGTAAACTAACTAACCTTACATACTCCCCCTTTTAAAGGGCGACTGGGGTTTAGGGGACCCAATTGCCAAATCCTGGGTGGGGAGAAATCCTCATCCACCACCCTTTTAGTTCGGGCCCCACTGTAAAGACATTACGTATTTTTTGGAAGCAGGCAAAATGAAAAATTAGCAACGCTTTCGCCGTGAATCGAACCATGGACTTCTGGAATACTGGCCCAGTGTGCAGAACCACTACACCACGAAGGCACGCTAAAAAGGTGGGAGAAATACCTTATAATGTCTCAAAATTAATCGAAGGCAAATGTGGGTCGGATACGGCTATAGTTACATAGCTAGATTAATTACATTTATTCAATCGCAATACCAATTACAGTTTTACATGAATCAGACCAAAATGTTACCAAGTATGGCGATTTCTCGCTAAATTTGTCAGCAAATGAGTCGCCAAAACCGTCGCCGGCTTCACAATATATCTCCAATTTAGCGAGCTAACCATTCACAACGTTAAAGTAGACGTGCCCTTGTATTCTTACTTTTCCGGCAAAGTTTTGCCTCTTTAGATTTTCGTGTCACATTTTTTAAAAAATGCTACAGTTTCACTAAAATTATTTACATATGTACACAATTCGTAACAGTATGTTAATGTGCGTATAAAAGATGATGTAGTTTGTGAACTTACCATTCAAATATTTATGTCCCATCGCATGTTGTGCGTGAGCATGGCCAAGCTGCGCATACATGTGAGTGACGTGAAAATGAAGGTGATCGAAATGGAAATAAGAATAGTACAGAAGAGCGACAACGGATGAGAAGGCAGTTACCTGAAATCAAAAGATAAAATATTAGAAGTGCGCCCGTACACAGAGTAATTGCATATATGTGTAAGACAAAAAATTTTTTCATAAGAAAAAATTGAATTTAATTAAATAAATTAAATTTAAATACAAATTTAATTAAATAATTTTAATTTAAACAAATTAAATTTAAATTTTAACAAACACGTATAAAAGCAAAAAAGCAAATTTAAAGCCAAAATTAAAAAAGCAAATTTAAAGCCAAAAAAAATGTTAAAAATTATTTAAAAAATGCGTAAACATATAAAAGATTTAAAAGATTAAATTCTCGAACTAATCTACAATATCATTTAAATTCAGAAGCATAAGCAAATCAAGTGCAAAACCAATCCATGAAAACAAATTCACTAATTTAGCAAATTAAAATTAATCCAAACAATTTTTTTAAAAATATGTAAATCGAAATTATAATTTAAACTAGCCCCTTAATTCCCCCGTCTATTCTAAAAATAGTAATGCCTTTATCTGGACTGTGTCATTTCTAGATCAGTCCGGCGTAGAACGTAGAATCCGCAATGAACAGCAAACTTGGCAGTCGAGATATATTAAATATTCATTTTTATTTCTATTGAGATCTGTGGCAACAATTCACTTGGTGCTCTAATAATGCATATAAAAGAAAATTTACGTTTTTGATACTGTTGGGATAGGAAGAGAGTAGAGCGAAATAGACTCTTAACAGGAAGAGAGGTAGAAGCTAAAGTGCGCAGTTATCCAGCATGACAGACTATTAAGAGAAGTTTTCGGTTCTCGAAATTTTGAGTTCAAATTCCAAATTAGCTACATCATCAGCGTTAAGCAAGTCAAGCAAGTGCTCTATGACGCAGTCCAGAAAAAAACATTGCTGTTTTAGAATAGAGAGGGAAATTAAGGGCTATTGGCTAAGTTAAATTATAATTTTGCCATATGCATATTTTTTATCTTACATACATATATTTCTTCGGTACCACACTACGGAATCAATATTGCAAAGTCCTTTTCATTACACACACATACATATATACGTACATATATATATATATATATATATATATATATACACGTATATACTACACATACATATATCCGTACACATACATACATAAATTTTCATTTCTTTTTTAATAATATATATATATATTAAAGACATAAAGTAAGAAATTTAGAACTAATATTTTACCCCTGATGAATTAGCATTGAAGTTGATATTGAATTTCACTTCTGTTTTTGTTTTTTTGATGTTTTATTTTTCTTTAAATTTTCATTAATTTTTTTGAAATGAGGTTTTGCTTGTTTAAAGTGTTTTGGTTTTAAATTTTTTAAAAATTATTTGTTGAAATTATTTGAAATTTATTAATTATGAATTTCATTTTTGGTCTTTGTGAAATATGAGTATTAGTTCTAAATTTCTTATTTTATGTCTTTAATGATAACTTTTTCTGCAGATTAATGCGCGAAAATACTAGGCATGCTTATATTTGGTTTTCAAAAGAATTGTTTTGTAATTATTTAATTTAGTCTTAAAAATATTTAAAAAAATTTTTAGAATTAATTTTTTTTGAATATGATATATTTATTCATGGTTTTAGATACTTGCACTTAATTTACATATGCTATCAGAATTTAAATGATATTGTAAATTAGTTCGCAGCACTAATTAATCATTTATTTGTATGCAATTAAAATTTCATAATTTAAAATTTAAATTTAAATTGATTTTAAATTTGCTTTATACAAATGGAGAATGTTTGTTAAATTCAAATTATATATATTTGCATTTGGTACTGCCGACTGCAATAAAAAAAGAAGTGCACAGTTAGACATAATAGAAATCCTATACGCAAAACTTTGAACAGTTAATCATCTTTGAGCTATACGCAAAACAATCGTACAAATTGATTTGGGAAAGATTAAAATATATATTTTCGCTGAAATATGAGACCCGAAATATTTCGGGATTACAATATTTCTTTTACTTCGTACAAGGAAGTAACAATGGGTGTACTGAGCAATTTCTCCTAAGTAATTCAATACTTCATAGAAGATGTATAATTAAATACATCCAGTTTTAGAGGACACATCTATGTACTTTGAAACTAAATTTTTGGAATTATTTTTTTCAGTTAGGAATTATTTATTTCTCTGCTAGAGCTAGAATAAAAATGACCTGTTCGTATCTGATTTTTTTTTTTCAGCTAAAAAATGGTAGGAATTGCCGGTATTTATTTATTATTCATTTTTAAGTGCCGCCTTTTTATCCCAAAAAGATATTAGACGGCGAATTACTTTTCAAATTGTTGCCTTCAAATATTATCGCCCTGTATTATCTTTAACGAAATTAAATAATGAAGAATCTACATGTATGTATGTTGGTTTCTCGCATTGTGAATAAACGACGGTACCTAGAACCATTAAATTTTGAATAACGTTGTCCTCCATCCGAACATGTGCACCTGGAAGCCTGAATTTTGAATTTCATATTTTATAATACTTTAAAGAACTTTTATTTTGCGGTTGTTGAATGGAAACTTTTGGAACGTAAGTACGAAGAACGTGATATGTGATAAAAAAAATAGTACGAAGAACGTGATATGTGATAAAAAAAATAGTACGAAGAACGTGATATGTGATAAAACGTTAATAGTAAAAAACACGCCCAAAAAAAAGTGTTTTGTAAGCTATCTTACTAAGAAAACTGAGCATTAATATATTGAACTCAGAAAAGACTGAAAAAAAAATAGAAAAACATATGCCAGTAGGTAACATTGCATCGTGAATTCTTATATATGCTGCTATGTACTTTTAAGTTTTTTGTAATTTTGCTATTGAATCGTATATATGGCGTAAGTGCGAAGAAAATGGTGCTAATAATAAATAAGGCTAGCAGCAGTGAGTGCAACAGTAGACTGGAGACTGCGAGCTCATCAAGAGCGTAGAAAACCTTAACAAATCCTTCTGGGCAATGGTTAAAATCTGAACTCTTCCAGACTTTCGCCCCCTTTTTTTTTCTTTTAATTTTTGGTTTTATTTGAAAGATTAAAGTTCAAGTAGTGTCGACAATATATCTGATTCCTCAATCTGCAGATACGAACTATTAGTGTTTCTTATTTTTTAAATCAACTACTTCAAAATAAATTGTCAGATATGTCATAAAAAATTTTTAATGTAAACCTAATTTTGAAAGGTGCAGCAGTGCGAGTTGAGAAAACATAATATTTACATTGTAAACTGATATTTGATATTCCAAACAACTGTTTCAGTACTAAATTATTGTTCAAATTTAATCAGTAACAGCAAGTATCCTTCACTTTAACCAATAAAATATTTCTTTCATATATATATACATTTTTGTCGCTGATATTTTTCTGCAGATTATTTGCCAGTAAAAAAATTAAAAATTACCATTCTTTCCATCTTGCGCTCACAAATCATTGTGCGAGTATCTTTTTTCAATTATTAAAGCCTGAAAAACACATGTCTGCGATGTTAATCGTTGTGCGATGATTTGTAGGTACTTTATTTTTTACCACGATATTTTCGTCGACGATGTTTTTAAACTGCGAAGTTTTTGAACCGCTTTATTTTCGACGACGATATTTTGTACCACGATGTTTTCTCTTTGCTTTATTTTCTTTGTTGTATGTCTTCCTTTCAGGATATTTGTCACCGGCTCGAAAGACTTTCACCAGATGCTTCCCCCATTAAATTTATTACCTTTTTATTATAATTTAACGATTTACCTTAAAGTTATTTGTCACAAAATTTATTATGTAACTTTTTACTTAAATTTCTTCATATAGGTCTTTTTTTTTTTTTTTTTTTTTTTTTTTTGTGTGTGTGGTGTGTGTTAATGCACACATAATTAGTAATTTTTAATTTTGCTCGATAAAGATACTGCCTTCATCCCAGGTGTATACACCATTTCCCCGTGAGACAGAGACGTTTTCGTCTTGCATTGTTTTCTTCACGACGTTTTCGTCCGCGATGTTTATTGCCTCGATGTTTTCGGCGGACTCCGCTTTTCTCGTCTTATGAAGAGTTGAGGCAAAAAAGTAAGTCGCGTAGTAAATTATATATAGGATCCGAAGCACGTATACAATTATTATAATTATTATCTCCTTGCCAAGTATTTCCATAGCTCAAAGCAAAAAGCTTTACATTTATTTTGAGCACGGCATCTCGTTTAGCTAGTTCTCAAAGTGCTGCTATTCGCAGAAGATAAGATGTATTGATCTTTCGAATTTGATTAATGAGTACCTGCTTTCATTCCTTAAGTGAGCATTTCGAAAGCAATAAAGGTATTCCTTAATAATTTAGATGTTTATTTTATATTTCAGTTATATATCTAATTGATATAAATTAAAATACTTTTCAAGTCATTGCAATTATTAAGTATTAAATTGCTATTTTAATTACTACTGTAATGTTTCTAGTGTTATATAGTACGTATCTAATGCAGAATCACTAAGTGATTTACAGATATCAGTGTTGTTCAGATTTTTATACATTCAAAGTGCCTCTACGTAAAATAAAAGAAAGGCGAAAATGACGCAAGTAATCGAAAAAGAGTCATCATTTAATCATGTAATGTAAATTAGGTAATAAACTGAACAAGAATTGATTAAAATAGATATGTAACTCTAAGGCAGTTCTAGAAGCTTAGGGTAAAGATGATTGCTTACAATTAATTGGGAATTCACGTGCCCATTTTAATAATGCAACAAGGCAGCAGGATTTGACACATTATATGTAGTAGCGAAACCATTAAAGGAGTTCCGCTTCCTTTCACTTCAGGCTCAGGGAAGATTCTCATTTTATTGATTCTCACCATGGAGACAAGCAGTGCAAACGAAACATAAAAGAATACTTGAATTAAATGGGTTAATAGGTAAAGTCTCTTTTTAATAAATGTAATGTTACGCAGTATAGGGCTCCGTCATTCTCCGTCAACTAAAGCAATTATGTTTACAACGAAACTAACAAATTTC